TTTCATAAAGAGGCTGTGTCAAGTAACAAAAATTTGACTAATAAAAATCCTATTTAAAATATTCAGAAAATGTTTTCAGTGGATTAATCCAGCACATACATAATAAAGACCTTGTTATGGGCTGAATTGTGTCCCTCTAGTAGTTAAATGTAGAAGTCTCAGTCCCCATCCTCTCAGACTATGGCTAGTTGGAGATGGAGCTCTTAAAGAGCTAATTAAGATGAAGCTATTAGAGTGGGCCTTATTCAGTATGAATGGTATCGAGAGTCGCTATCTCCCCATGGAATTGTGAATGAATAAACTGAGAGATACAATAAAAGAAGATGAGATTAGGGTCAAGAATCACAGATAAAGGTCCACGTGACAACATGTGAGGAAGATAGCATTTACAAACCATGGAGAGACGCTCCTAAGAACCTGATGAGACCACTGTATCCCTCCTACAATGGCCAGAGTACTCTTAGTTTCAAATGCTGGCAAGGATCTCGAAAAGCTAGACCTCTTATACACCACCAGTGGAAACTAGCATGGTTCATCACCATGGCAGATTCCTTTGCATTTTCTGAAGAATTAAATATCATTTCTTATTCCTCCAGCATTCCACACCTGGCACACATCCCAGGGAACAGAAGACAGTGTTCACTTAAAAATCTGTACAAACACGTTTCACTCATCTTTGTTTATAATAGTGAACCTGGAAAGAATTCAAATATCTTTCACTTGGGATCTGTGAAACAAAGGTTATGCATTCTTAAAGCAGAATCCCACTTTATACCTGAAACACACAGCAACAAAGTATTGATACATACTATATCTTGGATGGCTCTCAAGGGCATTATGCTGAGAGGAAAAATATACCCCCCCAAAGTTAGTGTTTGGTGCTATTCATATAACAGTTTTTGAAATGGCAAAATATAGAGATGGGGCTGGGAAGATGGCTCAGTTGGTGAAGCCCTTGCCTTGCAAGCATGAGGATCTGATTTGGATCCCCAGAACCCACGTGTGATGTTAATAATTATTGTCAATCTGACAGGATCTAGAACCACCTAGGAGACAGGCCTCTGGACATGCCTGTGAAGGACTATTTCACAGAAGGGCAGGTAGCCTTTGGGAATGGATTATCTATATTATGTTAGTTGAGGTGGGAAGACCCATCCTGAATGTGGGTACCAATCCATGGGCTGGGGTCCTGGACTGAATGAAAAGGAGAACGTGAGCTAAACATGGAACATTCATTTCTTTGTTTCCTGACTGAAGTCACAATGTGACCAGCAGCCTCACACTCCTGATGCCATGCCTTCCCTGCCATCGTGGCCTTTACTTTGAACTGTGAGCCAAAATAGATCCTTTCTCCCTTAGTTGCCTTGGTCAGGTATTTTGTTGCAGCAATGTGACAGGTAGCTACTACACCTTGTCAAAAGCAGGGTTCAGTGGTAAGTGCCTCTTATCCCATGTCTGTGAGAACGGAGACAGGAGAATTCTTGGAGCTTACCGGTCAGCTAGCTTGATCTATGCAGTGAAGTTCCAGGTCAGTGGGGCACCCTGTTCCAGACAAGGGTGGAAGGTACCTGAGGGTTGACCTGTGCATGCACATGGAGAGAGAGAGAGAGAGAGAGAGAGAGAGAGAGAGAGAGAGAGAGAGAGAGAGAGAAACGGGCCAGACCAGTGGCTCTGGGGTTTGGGAAGTGGGACGGAGTGGGTGGTGTGAGTACAAAGGGGGATAACCAACAGACCTCTTTTACAGCAAAGAAAGAGTTCCACATTTTGAAAGTGTTGGTGCTTTCATGAATCTGTACACTGAATAAAATGTCATAGAATTGCACACAAATGTAAAACTCCAGCTTCACAAATGAGTGTGTGCAAAAGATGACAGAATCCAAATGAAATCTGTAGTGTAGGTAATTTTGTTTTACTGGTGTCAATCTCCTGGTTTTGATATATTTTTGTAATATATTGCTATGGGCATGGGCTGGATAGTGGGTATATAGAAATTGTACTATTTTAAAACCTTTAAAATGTCTATAAATAATTAAGAATAAAGTGTTAAAAAATAACTGAAGGATCCATTTATTGAATGGACCACTGAGAGCATCAGTCACTGAGAATGAGGGTATTGATATCTGGGAAAGAGGTTTGTAAACCAGGCATCTAGGCTAGAAGAAATATCATTTACAATCACATACCTCCACTATAATTAATAATGCTAAAACTTTGATGTATTTTTTCTGATAGTTCTCAAAAGGAACAAATAAAAATGTATAGATGGCTCTATAAGCTTTGTCAAACCTGCGTATGTCCCATTGTACTCTTCACAACTTCTGACATTGATCTGTGACATCCTGTCAAGTATAGCAGGATGTTGTAAGAAGAGTTTAACCTCACTGTTGAGCCAGTATAAGGCTGGGGGTATTGCTCAGTGGCAGAGTGACTACTTTACACATGCAAGGCCCTGCACTGTAAAACTAAAAAAAAACCCCAAACTATAGATACTGTATATCCAAAGAGCTGTAGGTGAACCCCTTTTTATAAGAGGTTTGTTATAACTCCTGATCAACTCTTTAAAAACTATTTTATTTAATGTGTATGAGTGCATTGCTTGCATGTAAGTGTACCCATGTTGTACAGTGCCTGAGGAGGTCAGAAGAGGGCCTCAGAGTCCCTGGAACTTGAATTATGGATGGTCGTTAGCTGCCATGTGGGTGCTGGGAATCGAACCTGGTCCTCTGCAAGAACAGCCAGTGCTCTTAACCACTGAGCCATCTCTCCAGCCCCTTATCAACTCTTTATTTCATTGGTTCTTTGAGAATTCATACAGTACGTTTTGATCATATTTGCTCACTTGTTTCCATAACTCCTTTCAGGTCAACCCCCACACTACCTGTTCAACACTGTGTCCTTTTTTTTTTTTTTAAAGTCTAGTTTGTGCTGCCCATATACTCATGAGTGTGTAGCCATCTACTGGAGCCTGCTTGACTGACCAGGGGCCAGACTCTTACGGGAGATGGACTCCCCCTCTCCCAGCAGTCGGTTGACAATAGTTCCTCAGCTACGGCTGGGGCGCCTTGCCCCGCTTCCTTCTCCATGCTGGGATTTCGTCTGCCTTGAGCTATCATCCAAGAAACTATTTACAATAGAGAGTTACATTAGGAATAAAAGAGTGATCTACTTTGAAGATGGAACAATTTCCCCTGCTCTATACTTGGTATTTGGGCAGCTAAAAGGCTTCACCAGACAAGTGCTTCTCTCTTTCCCCCTTATCTCCCGAACTTCCCCTTCTTCTATTCCTATGTCTCTTAACCAACAGCTTCTGAACAGGGAGGGGTAGAGATATCCCTGGGAGAAGGTTTAGTAGAAAAGGATGCTGCCTTTTGGCTAGTCTGGGGCTGACCTGGCTCGCTCTGATTTGACAGTATTTTGGAGCTGACTCCAACTGTTTTTGCAAACTTATGCCAATACCCGTCACCTCAGGCCATTGTGGACGGTACTCACTGATCATATACTTCAGCCTTATGACCCTTCTTACAACCAAGACCAAATACCTGGTAAAAAACTGAAAGCATTTTTGTGTGTCTCGCTGACCATCTCTCAAAGAACCTTGGCATTTTTATTAACAATCCTACAGTGAGTTGCCCCCGGCCCCATTTTTTTTCTCTCTAGGCTCTATTTATCTAAACCTGCCTACCATAAAAATTTTGTGTGGTTGTTAAAAAGTGTAGGATTATCAGTTTAAACTTTAAGTATTTCAAGAAACCCTCTCTGATTTACTCACCACAATTACACAGGTCCTGATGAGATAATCTCCTCCTGTCCACATCTCTGTTGTATTCTGTAAGGATTCAGAGTCAGCTGTACCAATGTGATGGGTGTATGTATGGAGAGCTCTTCTTCCACACTACTGTGAGCTCCTGAGACAAGGAACAAAATCACATCTGTGTCTACAGGCAACAGCTGGTGAACAGACAGTATTAGTGCCTGACTCACACCATCTCAACATACAGAAAGAACATCACAGCAGCTTGTCCAAACAGGTACAAAGAGCACGTGCTCTTTCTGTTTATAGTTACGGTGTAGAGGATGAACTTCCGGGTTTTAATGGTATGGTACTTATATTCAGGCCATGACTACAGTAAAGTCAAATCCCACAGTCTTATTCTGAAAAAATTCCAGATTTCTTATGACATAAGATCAGACCAGTAAAACCATAATCCCATTATGGTTATAAACATGATTCAAGGTGGCCATGGAGCCAGCTTGAGAGTAGAGCCTGGCTGGCCCTAGGTTGGTGGTCACCCTCATCTTGAATTCACAGTGTCAGCCACACCTCAGTATCTCAAGATTTCTGGCTGCTTGGGTGATTGGCTGGAGGCCAGGTCCTCCTCTTCTGGATCATATTGTGGGAACCTGTGTTGTAACACGATGTCTGGCCTCAGCACCTGCAGGGGACTCCCCTTGAAAAATGCTTGTGTGGGACTGGAGAGATGGCTCAGTGGTTAAGAGCACTGACTGCTCTTGCAGAAGACCTGGGTTCGATTCCCAGCACCCATATGGTGGCTACGAACTGTCCTTAACTCCAGTTCCAGGGGAATCCGAGGCCCTCTTCTGACCTCCACGGCATTGCACGACTCGGGTGCACTCACATCCATGCAGGCGATACACTCACAGACATAAAATAAAAATAAATAAAAAAGAAAAATGCTTGTGTGAGCTGTGTGTTAGTTTCAAATCAGAGAGTAGACTGAGGGCTTAGCATGATGAGTATTGTGATCTCATCAGTGTGAAGCATTTGTGGAAGGTGTAGCTTCCACACCTTCCACACGTGGGGGATCTTTTTCTCCACTGTCAGGCACACACAAGAGAGTGCTGATTGTTGACAGAGGCTATTTCCGTTGCAACAAAAATTGTAAAGAAGTATCATTTAATAAGAAAGAATCAGAGAAGTTAGTGAGAATTTTATTGATGATGTCAAGAAGGATAGAGACAGTGTACTTTCAGATTAATGCTTTTACTGAGGAAAGAAGAGAACCCAGGTGAATGCAATCTGTTGAAGACGGTGGTGAATCACCGGGGCATTTCAGGTCACTAGTGTGAGAGAAGAGTGGACGGCTGTCAAGCGTGGCAGGCAGTGCTCGCTCCAAAGCCACATCTGGGGTCCAGGCTCTTCCTCAGGGCTCTACTCTGCTGCTCGACATATCCACAGTCTCCTGAGGGACGCTGCTTCCATTTTCATCCCCCTCGGGGGTGTCCTGCAGAGCCCTCTGCAGAACCGACCTGAGGGTCTGGTGCTTCAGCTGATGTCTGAAGGAGCCGACGAAGAAGTAAATGATGGGGTTGGCACAGCTGTTGACAGCAGTCAGGACAAGTGATCCCAGATAGAGACCATAGGCAAAGACGCCGTAATCAATCTTAATCCAGATTAACAGGAACCAGTGGATGCCAAAAGGCAGGCCGCAGAGCAGGAAGACCAGCACGGTGAGCAGAATGGTTGCATACAACCTGGTGAGCTTCATCCGTCCAGCTCCACAAAATAACCTGGCCAGCAGGGCCAGGCTGGACAGGAAGAGGACCACGAACAAGAAAATCAGGCATGCGGCAGTGAAAAAATTGGATGCCAGACACTGCTTCTCACCCTCATATTTGGTATCCAAGAAGCCGCAGTAAAACCTGTTGAGGATGCTGATCAGCCCAGACACGACCCAAATCAGGGCGCACACGACAGCCGAGGTGTGCTTGGGGCGGTGGATGCGGTACCAGATGGGGCACACCACGGAGAGGCAGCGCTCCGTGCTAATGGTGCTGAGCATGCTCAGGCCCGCGATGTAGGGAAACATCATCACAGTGTTGAAGCAGGGGAGGAAGATAATGTTGGGGTAGGAAAACCTGAAGAGCAGCAGCACCGAGTCTATCTCGTGACACAGGAGGAAGAGAAAGTCAGCCAAGGCCAGGTTCAGGATGTAGACCGAGAAGGCGTTCCTGCGCAAGCGGAAGCCCAGGAGCCAGAACACAACGGCGTTTCCCGTAAGCCCAACCAGCCCGAAGAGGACGATCGCCACGTTTGGGATCAGGGTCCTGCTGTTGAAGCTTCCAGGGATGGTCTTGTCCATTGGATTTGTTGTTGTGACCTCCAGTCCCGAGGCTGAGGTGTTTACGCTCAGAAACCCTCCACTGGTGCTGTGGGGACACAAAGATGTGAGACCTACTTCTTTTTTAAAAGACATTTTTGTTAGCATATGTTGGCTGTACAAAATAGTTTTATTTTGAGATTGTCATACGTCTACCATGTACTTTGCATGATCATCTGCCAGGCTCACATCATGTGGGAATTTCCCTTCTCGTGTTATAGGTGAGGTCATGCGGGCTTGCAGAGGTTAGGGAGTCCTAGAACTTGGTTGCAAACCCATTTCAGTTCCTATAAAGCCTGGAATCACCCCACTGCCCAGACCCTCTATTGACATGGGAATATGTAGTAAGCCCTGCATCACCACACTTTGGTTAAGGAACCAGGCACCTCCAGTCTTGGGTCAGAAATGTTCTCTCAGGTACAAAACAGCACAGAGATCATGACACTCTCATAACTAAGAGGGTTCCATTTACGGTGGGGGAAAAGATCCTGTTTTAGGCCATGAGGAAATATAAGCTCTGGTTAGGACAGGTATAAAGGTGGCTGGGTCTAGTGAGCTAGACCAGGCCCCCAAGGGTCAGCCATTGAGGGCAGAAGCTCCGTTTGTATTCTGGAGTCTAGCTCCGTGTGATGCACGCTGTATACTCATATTTATGCAATAGACGGATGCATGAATGAAGAGTTTACATGAAAGCAGCGGTGATTTTGGTTGGATGAAAATAAAGAAAATGCTTTAGAACATGCACGTATAATGAGAGATAATCTGTATTTGTGTGTGTGTGTGTGTGTGTGTGTGTGTGTGTGTGTGTGTGTGTGTCTGCCCAGCTTTGGATCTATTTAGACAAATTGCTTATGCATCTTCTAATAACTGAACTTGACCGCTGTTGTGCCTTTCAAAGTGAAGACTCCTTATGGCTTTGGTGACCCTGTAGAATCATTTGATACACACCCTGGGGAGTGTGGTTTGTGTTCAAGCTGAACTGCTCAATAATATTGAGGTGAAAACAATATGTGATGACCAGGCCCAAGAGCCACAGCAAAAATAGATATGTGTATGGGAGCATCTCTGAATGACCATTAAATGGTGTTCCTTGGTGTGTATAACATAAGCTCCCATTTTTGTTCCAGAAGATTTGAGGAGAGTTTGATTTGCTGATCAAAGCTTTTCTGTGAGGAGTCTGTGAGGAGTTGTATGAAATATGAAGGGCTTGGAATACAGAGTTGCTTATGTAGATTTCTTTCTTTTTTCTTTAATATTTATTTTTATATATGTGTATGTATGTGTGAGCCTGTCTGGTAGTATGTGCATGTACGTGTATGTATCTGCTGAGACTGGGAGAGGGTACTGGGTCTCCTGGAGCTGGAGTCACAGGTGGTTGTGAGCTGCCCAGTGTGGGTTCTGGGAACCGAACTCCATTTCTCTGCAGGGGCAGCCAGTGCTCTTAACCACTGCGCCAGCTCATGTACATTTCAACTAGAGAAAGAAGATCAGCTCCGGAGTGCATAATGAACAGCAACTGGAGGTTTATCAGTCATTGTCCCTTTGAATAGTATGACTAGCCTATGAGGTAAGAATTAGTTCCCTCTTCTTACAGAGGATGGAACTAGAACACAAACACCACGAGTGATTAGTTCCTAGTCTCCCACAATGTACATATCACCTATGTTGTCTCAAGTTCCCCCATCCCCTCCTCCTTGACCAGCCCTTTAGAATCACCACTGTGTATTGATTACATGTGGATGAGAGAAAAAATAGGAGTAATGTCCAAGTTAGAGTCAAGATGACAATCACTATTGTGGATTAAGAAACAAACTAGAGGGGCTTGGCAGATGGCTCAGCAGTTAAGAGCACTTGCTGCTCTTGCAGAGGACGGGAGTTTGGTTCCCAGTACCCATGTTAGGTGGCTCACAACCATCTGTAACTTCAGTTCCAGGTGATCTGAAATCCTCTTCTGGCCTCCACAGGCACCTGCATGCGTGCACGTACATACACACACACACACACACACACACACACACACACACACACACACACACAATCTAACAAAAAGAAACAACCAGATTAAGCAAACTTCAGAAAGAGAAAGGAAAAGAAACCACATGGGGAACAAAATAGCAGTTGGGTGGAGGACAGCTAGGGGAAGCCAGAATCCAGAAGCTTTCTTCTGCCTCATGGAGGCCGCCATGATTTCAGGATCCAGTGGGTCGGGTTGTAGATCCTGGGATGTAGACAGGATGCAGAAATGCATAGCACCCCCATGCACTCCTTAGAGACATGAGTTACTATGGTCCTGATTGACTGGAAAAAGTAGTAAGAGAAAGACAGTAAATCTGTTATTTCTACTTAGGAAACTTAGAAGTTTGAACTTTTTCTTTAAGGTGTGAGGCACTTTTTTTTCCCCATCAAGTTAAGAGTCCCGTAAGGAACACGTCATACTTGGTTTGTTCACTAATGTACCTTAGGTTTTCTAAAGATCATCTGTTGCAGTGCTCTCACTTAGCACTGGAAAAAACTAAGACTTAATCAGGCAAAGGAATTTTCTTGAGCTCAAACCATACAAAGCCATTCCAATACCTGTCTGTGGTCTCTGGAAGCCCTGTGCAAGCTCCCCCACCTCGTGCTCTCTGACATCAGTTACTGTTTCTGAGGAACTTTAAAAGCGTTTCAATATTTTGAGAGCACAGAATCTGTGGGGCAGTCAGGGGCTATAGAAGTTCCTAGCTAAGTATCCATTCTCTGTCTGTCAATCATTCTAAATAGATTTAAATCAGAAAATGATCCTATTTCCCACTTTTTCATGATGTGCTAACAGCACATGACCAGGTGCTCATCAAGGGGTGGTAAGTAGAGGTGATCAGCCCTTGGGTCATGAGGCCAATAGGAGGAACTAAGTCCCCCTTTCTCTTCCCTTGTCACCAGGGTGGAATCCTGAGGTCAGGAGCCATGTATGGATCCCAAGGATGAGGCTCCTTTCAAGGGACTGGAGAGCAGGAATTTGGAAGGAGTCCTGGCATCCAATGCTGTGGAGCATCCAGCTCAGGTCTAAAACACTTTTTGAAGTCTTTGTAATTGCACTGTGTTAGAGCTGCCAACTTAAACTCTCCTGAACAAGGAGGTGGTTTCCCCACCGGCTGTGTGTGGGCAGTGCGTCTCTTGTCTGCTCATCCTCTTCCCCTGCTGCAGCTGCAGCTGGGGTGGCTTTCTCTCTGGCACCAGCACCTTCTCTTGCCCCTTTATATAGTGTAAGGACAGAAACAGTGTTTCATTATTGCTTGCCTAGGGTGTTTCACAGTGTACTATCAACTCCCTTTAATCTAGCAGAACTTTGAAAACAGTCCCTTCCTGAAATATTCCTCAGCTATTACAGTTTGGTTCATCTGCTGCCTCCTCTGGACCTATCAGAGACATAATTTTGAAAAAGAAGCCTAGCAATGAAGCCTGAGTTTATAGCAGCTCATTTCAGGGATTCAGTGCCTACATCTTTAAGTAAACGTGGGAGCCAGCATTCTTTCCATGAAAGCAGATTTTAGTAGGGGAACCAGGAGGAGGATGCGGAGAGATGGATCAGAAGGGAAAAAGCTCTCTGGTAAACCCCATTTGGAAACTGAAAAATTAGGGTTGCCAGCACCATTTACAGAAATAAACTTGAGGTTTCCTGCCAAAGAAACTCTGTGAATCCCTTTGGGGAGCATTCCAAGGTGGAAATACAGGGAAACTCAGAGTAAGAACCATAACTGACTTCGGGACTGAATCAGTTCATGCAGCACATCTGGCTCTTTCCTGTATTTTCTGCGTAGGGGTGGAGAGTTTACTTGGGACGGCTGGGAGGGTTCTTTGTGGGGATGAATGATTCCAGATGACCCTCTTGAAAAGCCTACAGGAACTGGAGTGAAAGCTGGTGAACAAGAAAAGCATAGTAAGATAAGATGCCGGAACCTGCAATTTCCCATTAAGTGACTGTAGGCAACTCAGAGACAAGATCTGTGAAGTCTGACCCTCATCAAGAGCTTTATGGCCTTGGTTCCATTTTCACTCATTCAGCCTCTTGTCTTGTCCAGCTCCCTCTTTGGAAGTAATTGGTGTTCTGGAGACTTTGATTGACAAGTGCAAGTCTAGGTAGCAATGTCAAGCAATATGAGCTTGCCCTGTGGGGCTGTGCAACTAGAGAATAAAATGTATTGCAGTGTTTCAATGTTCACTGTGGCCCGTTGACCCCTTTAAAGCATTGAAAATCATAGTAGTTATGTATTCATGCTCATATTTCATTTCCCCCAAATAACAGAGGCCTGTATAGGTTGAAATGCCTGAAATCCCTTTCTTTTCATCCTTAGTAGTATATTTTATTATTAGCTCTGACAAGTAAACTTATGTCTGTTTTCAACTTATCAGTATGATGTAGTGAATTTCCTTTAAAAATGTTGGAGGTAAAGGAAAAGAAATAACCTGAAAGAGAAGAACAGTAGGAAACAGGCCTTAAT